TAAAAAATGTTTGTTGTTGTTGTTGTTAAATTTTACCAAAACATTCTCCAGAGGCTGAGAGTATGGCTCAGTGACAGAGCATGTACCTAACATGCATAAGACCCTGGGTTCCAACCCTAGCACCAGAATAAAACAAAACAAAACAAAAACAACAACAACAAAACATTCTCCAAAGAGAACACTGTCTTTTTTTTAATTTTTTAATACTTATTTATTAGTTTTCGGCGGACACAACATCTTTGTTTGTATGTGGTGCTGAGGATCGAACCCGGGCCGCACGCATGCCAGGCGAGCGCGCTACCGCTTGAGCCACATCCCCAGCCCCGAGAACACTGTCTTTAACATAGAATTCCCAGGCCATATATCCATGTCTGGTATCATTCTTTTGAACATTCTCCCCTGCTGCTACAATGGAAGACAAACCATATTTCCAAGCTTGTTGAAAAGTTTTGTCAGTTTCCCACTCAGTCACATTTTCCAGTCATTTTGTTAACATGTTTATAGACCTGGTTATTCATTCTTAGTCAATGTCCAGGAGAGACTTGGATCAAGACAATCTTTTTTTTTTTTTTTTTTCCTTTTCAATTTTGACATCTCTATGAATTAGGTATTATACAATATTATCACAGCCTACTTTTTTTCTGCCTCATATTACCCAGGAGACAATTCCGGAATGAACTTGGACTAGAATTTGATATAGCATCCTGAGTTTCTTAAAGATTTTGATGTCTAGACTTTTCTATAGTCTTTGAAGGTTCTTTCCTTTTTCTTTTGCATACAAGATATTATTTGAATGAATCGAGTGTCCTACAAGTATTGCTGTAATTTTCTTAGCCACAGGCAATTACTACAATGAGAAGGAGCTATCTGATCTCATTTGGTATGTTAAACCTTGGTGCTGCTGTCGCAGATTCCTTCTTTTGTGTTTGGTATGTCACTTAGTTTGTACCTTTGGTTTTGAACACATCAGTCTACTCCTCTGGGCTGTAATATTTGTTTGCTCTCTGTTTATAAATGTAAGCACAGTGTCATCACTGAATTACTCTGAAATGACTTAAACTACGTAAAAATGATTTCAAACATGCAAATAACTTGGGAACCAGAGACAGTAATATTGAACCAATCAATAAGATAGTGGGAACCAATTTAGTGAAGGGAGACTTTATTTCTTGTTTCCCAATACACATTCACACTCACTAAGTGGGAACCACTTTCTGCCCTACTAAGGACTTGGCTAAAGTGACCAAGGATTCTTTATCTCAGTTTTCTCTTTCCACCGTGGAGCTAAAAATATTTGTCAAAACCTTTGCAGATGATGCAAACCCTATGTCTAAATTAGTGTTTATGAACCAGTTTGAATTTTTTTGTAGGAGGCCAGGTATGTGCTCAGGAAGATATAAAACTATATATTTAGGTGAGTAATTACAAGAAGCTATTCAATTCTCAGAGGCAGAGTCAAAACTCTGTGTATATAAGATAGTGGAATATTTCGTAAGAAGACATCTTAGTGTTTTCTATTCCTGACTTATTTAAAAGTCTGGAGTTCCTGGGCTGGGATTGTGGCTCAGTGGTGACACGCTTACCTAGCATGCATGAGGTACTAGGTTCGATTCTCAGCATCACATATAAATAAGTAAAATAAAGGTCCATCAACAACTAAAAAATATTTTTTTAAAAAACCACTGTTAAAAAAAAAAAAAGTCTGGAGTTCCTTATCATTCTTTGTTGACATAATATATGTAAATAAAATAAGATAAGTCCCTCTGGTCAAAATTAAAAAAAAAAAAAAGTAAAAACACACAGGTACTAAAGATTAGCAATGGGAAAAGGGGAAAAAAACACTCTAAAATTCTAAACTTATCAAAGATATAAAGATACTTTCTGAAAGAATCTATGGGCAGGGAAAGAGAGATGAACAGGACTAAAAGAACAAATAGGAAATTTCAAAGGTGAGACAGAAGAGAGGAAATGACTCAGCTACAGATTAGGTCGGGAATTCCAGTTGGGTGAGGTAAATGATAATGTGGCCTGGGAAAGTTCTTTACCTACAGAGGACAAAATTCTAGAAACTCACTGCAGTGTTCTAATGATTGAAGTGGTCGAGCACAGCAATTGGGGAGGATGAGACAGGAGGATCACAACTGAAAGAAGCAAGAATTTATTGAATACTCATATGTGCAGTTCTAGCTTTCATAGTTGTTTGGTACATTACTGACCAGTACACACATGATTTAAATAGTGTAATAAGTAAGCTAGTCCCTGATTTATATCAACATACAAAAGAGATATTGGAATTTTGATCTTTTCTCAGGCTAGTTATATTTGGTGACACTCTACTGTATACTGGTTTGCTAAACTATGATGTTCAGTAGATTAGGTGTATCATCTCAACTTATGAGGGGTTTATGGGGAAGTAACCCTTTGTAAGGGGAGGAGCATCTTTATGTATATGAATACTATTAATAAAGAACAAAATATGGTCTGTGAGCAATCTGGAAGACTTCTTGGAGAAAGTAATGCTGGAGTTGAGTTTTGAAGGAGGAATGGAAGAAATGACATGTGTTAAATCACTGTGGAGTGAAACAGCATTATGCATTTGAGGAACCAAAGCCAGTAGTTTGGCTGCAGAGAATTGGTTGGCATGATGAGTAATGAAAGATTAGGTGGCTGGGACAATTTACAATTTTGAAGGATCTTTATATGCCAGCTTAAATTTGGGCTTTAAATTTGGAGATTACTAAAATATATTTTTTTTTTTTTTTAAGGAGAGAGAGAGAGAGAGATAGAGAGAGAGAGAGAGAGAGAAATTTTAATATGTATTTTTTAGTTTTCGGCAGACACAACATCTTTTTTGTTTGTTTATGTATGTGGTGTTGAGGATCGAACCCGGGCTGCACGCGTGCCAGGCAAGCGCGCTACCGCTTGAGCCACATCCCCAGCCCTACTAAAATATTTTAAGCATTAGATGACAAATCATATCTGCCTTTGAGGAAGACCACTTAAGTGGCAGTGATTGTGAGAGGTGGAGGAAGAGTTGAGGTAGGAAGATTTAAAACAAGTCATGAATGGAGAAAGGACTGGATGTGGTAGTTAAATAAAATGTATGAGAATGTCTGCTAGGCTTTAGATATAGTACTACTTAATAAAATATATAACATAAGAGAAACAATTTCCTTTCTTTTTCCTTTCCTAAGATCCCAGTCTTTTCTTGAACAGAAGGTACCCGTGGGAAATTTAAGTGTGCACCTTCCTCTTCTTTTGATGCTATCATCATGTATATCAACCATACCCTCTTGCAAAATGTTTCTTAGTACGTAAGTATTTGGGTATGGAGGCAGCATGTTGTGTATTTCTGAGTTTTTTATGTACTATAGTCCCTTGCCCTCAGCGAGTAAGACTGAATAAGCAGGTGATATGTGGTCACTAATAAATGAAGAATCAGTACTTTAATAATGTGGAGAAATAGTTCTTAATAGTACTGTGACCTAAGACCTCATTTCATATATAAATAATAGCAATTTGCTCTTCATTAAACTTTAGTAACAGTAAAGCAGGCACGATAAAATAAGATGTACTAATTTATCTCTTTCAAATTACATCCTGAGTGGTTATGTATATATTACGTAGTGAATCGCTTCTGCTCCTCTTACCAAATTTCCAAAACACAGCCCATCCCAGATTAGGAAAGAAGAGTAGAGGCAAAGTGGTCGAAAGGCAGACGGGTGCACAGAAATGGGACCAAAGCCCAAACGAAGACGAGGAATCAATCACCACGGCTGGAAGGATCTGGGCTGTTTGCCCAAAAAGAACATCTAAGTCTCGGGAACTGACTGGTGCTAAGAAACCTAAGATAGAGCGAGTGACAGGCACAGAAAGAGGCCTGACCCTTTGGGACTGCCTGAAACACGCTAGGAATGCAAGGGAAACGTCCGGAACCCAGGATTGGCTGCTGCCAAAGACAAGCTGGGCTTAACCCCAGCTCCAAAGGCAAGCAAAAGGCCGACTCCGTCGGTTGGGAAACGACGCCCTACGGCTGCCCACACGAAGGACACAACCCCGGAGCCAGAGGCCATCCCGCTGCCAAAAAGTCGAAGGGAGCCCCAGAATCCATAGCCTAGACGAACACCCGGAGCCGTCTGTGGGCGGGCTTAGGGGCGGGGCCCATACTCCTCCGCCCTCTAACTGCGATCAACTGCGTCCTCAGTGCGCCTGCGTAGGGTGAGGCCGGACTCTATTTGGCTATTAAGCGTGCGGCGGCAGCGGCGTTCTCTACCCGGCATGCTGTGCGGGAGCAGCGGCCCTACGTCTATCCCTTTCCCAACCCTGCCCCTTCTCCCCCCCCCCTCCCGCCGCGGCCCCCCTTTCCCTAAAGTGAGTGAGTGAGACGGGCAGATGGAGGAGGGATTGTAATGGCGGCGGCCGGCAGCTCCCTGCTCTGACCCACGGCAGGCACATAGCAACGACCCTCCCCTCCCCGCCCCTCTCCCGGCCGGCCTCCGCCCCGCCGTCGGCGCGGGGCCACCTTCCACGGCCCTTCCCCCAGCTGTCGGCGTCTAGCCCTGAGCCCCGGCCGGGGCCCCACACACAATGGACGAGCTTGCCGGAGGCGGTGGTGGCGGCCCGGGAATGACGGCCCCTCCCCGGCAGCAGCAGGGACCTGGGGGGAACCTGAGTCTTTCGCCGGGGGGCAACGGAGCGGCGGGCGGCGGGGGTCCTCCGGCCTCCGAGGGAGCCGGTCCCCCGGCAGGCCCCGAGCTGTCCCGGCCACAGCAGTACACTATTCCGGGGATACTGCACTACATCCAGCACGAGTGGGCTCGGTTCGAGATGGAGCGGGCGCACTGGGAGGTGGAGCGGGCCGAACTGCAGGTACCTTGCTGGGGTCAGTGTGCGGGACGGCTACCATAGAGAGGTTCCCGGCCTGGGGCTGGGGGGGCGGATGTGGGGCAGGGATTCCCTTCAGCCCGAGCCCTCTCCTTGGGAGGCCGAGAGGAACATACCTGTGCGGCTCGGGGGATGATGGTCCTGCGACGGGTCTTCCTAGGGTCCCCCTCCCCCTTTCCCGCTGAAGCTTGTTCTCCAACCCTTACTAGCTACGCGGTACGGGCTTCCTTGGGGCAGCCATTTTGGCTTTTAGTATGGCGTCTGCGGGGGCTCCTCCGGAGGCGGCCTTCCCCGGCCTCTCGGCCTTGGGGCCGAGCTGTTCTTCGTGAGAGTCCGGCGCCGGGCTGCTGTGTACTGAGTTTGCTCTTGTTTATTCTTCTTGAAATTGAAAACCCGAGGACCTGAACTGCGAAGAACAGTTTATCACCTTTTCCTGGACCACCCCCCCTTTCCCGATTAGGCTTGTCTGTCCCCCTCCCCCGTGACTTGGTACGCAGTTGCCCTTTGACAGTCACGCTTTTTTCTTGGGCTGTTACCATGCACTATAGTTTGCGGCCGACTTGGGAAGTTTTCATTTTCCACCGTCAACTCTTGAGTTCCTACTTATCTGGGGTGCTGCTTTACTCGCTTGGATTTCCTTTAGTTCTTCCTTAGTTGCTGACTTTTCAACACTTTTAACACTGAATTTTTCTTTTTAGAGTAACACCTTCACCAGACTTCCTCCCAATCCCTTTAATTTTTATACAAAGCCAAACAAGACCGTTGTGTTTGTGAAACGATTGAGAAGATAATTAGTATTAGTTTGAAATGACATACTTGTTTCACAGTACCAACTCGTGAAGCAAAGTTAAATGTTCTTAGTACTCTTTAATAATTGAGCCTGACTTGTTCCTCTTAATTTAAATCTTTGATAGGCTGGGATGACCGACTTTTGGAAACTCTTACTAGTTTAGGGCTCAAGTCTTGAGTTTCAAAATTGCTGCATCTTTTTTAAAGGTTTAATTTTTAAAATATTTGTGTTTATTTTTAAATTCCTTCCCGGGTTAAATCTAAACATGCATCTAAATAGTGTTGCACTTTTTCTTCATACATACTTAGGGTGTAAGCATTATTGTTCATTGTCACATATACCTATGATGAATAATTAGGAAGATGTGTTGAAAGAGGAAAGGTTAGATTTATGTAGAAAGGATGTCCTCAAATAAATATGAGTCTCTTCAGTTTGATTTTGATTGAGTTTACAAAGTGGGTGAGGTTAGACTTAAAAAAAAAAAAAGTAAAACCACTTACATTTTGACACTTTAAATCAATTCATTGTTTTAGATTTGTGCATTGCTCTACTCTTGGGCTTTAAAAAACGGGCTTTAAAAAATTTTCAAAGGGCTTAAGTAAAAATTGCCTGTGTTTTTTGTAAATTTATGTACAGTCTGCTTTGAAATACTTAGAATTCGTGTAGTTCTGTTGATATACAACTATATGGGACGCTATGCTGCTAACTTTTTTGTGTGAGTAGCGCCATCGTAGTAGTGCATCTATTTTAAAAAGTTGCATTGAGTTTTGGGTCCACTGAATAATAGTTCCGCTAGTTCCTGATACCATTTTTTTTTTTTTTATCTTTGTACTGTTGTACGTAAGTTTTGATTTTTTAACAGTTTTCAAGGTAGTAATTGCATTCGTCCTTCATAAATTTCATTAATGTGAGGAGCTGAGAAATGTCTAAATTACTAAAATCTTTGCATTAATGAAAACTATATTGTCTGCTTTTTCTTATTTTCCCTTCCATTTCTCCTCTCCCTAACAGCATCATAAAAGTTCTTTAAGGAAGATTCCTTTTACTTGCTTGCTTTCAGTTGATGTGTGTGTGTGTGTGTGTGTATTTTGTGTATGTGTGGTTCCAGGAATTGAACCCCAGAGGTGCTTACCCACTGAGCCGAATCCCCATCCCATTTTATTTTTTGAGGCAGGAGCTTGCTAAATTACAAATTGCTGAGGCTGGCTTTGAACTTGCCACCCTCCTGCCTCATCCTCCTGAGCCTCTGGGATTACAGGTGTGTGCCATCACACCTGGCTGATCTACTCTGATACAACCATTATAATATTTTTTGATTGTGTTGAAGAAGTATTGATAAAGAGTTTGTAGGTTCTTAATTTTTTTCCCCCAGGGATTTCCTTATTTCATACTGATTCATTGGGATAAAATGTTCATGATTGTGTTTGTGTGTTTTTTTGTGTGTGTGCTGTATTTCTTAAAATTTTTTTACTGAATTAATAGGGTTTCAGAAAGTTTGGTTGAATATTGAATTTGCGTTAAGTGCCTTCAATTATAATAAGATTGTTTGTGAGGGGCTGGGGTTGTGGCTCAGCGGTAGAGTACTAGCCTAGCATGTGCGAAGCCCTGGGTTCAATCCTCGGCATTACATAAAAATAAATAAATAAAACAAAGGTATTGTGTCCAACTACAAGTAAAAAAATAAATATTTTATTTTTTTGTGAGATGCCTATTTAAAAATTTATGTGTTGAATGTGTGTATAAAATTAATGTGTGAAAATGTATGTGCTGTTTAAGTGAAACATCAGTGGATTAATACTATAAACTTAAACTTACTTTACGAAAACATAGGAATAATGCACCCCCATACCATTGTTACATACTTTTGTGTGTGCACTGGTCATCTACACATGTAATTCTTTGTTTTGGATACAAGATCTGACTCGTTTGCCAGGAAGAAATCGTGGGCTCAAGCAATCCTCCTACCTCACCCTCCCAAGTATTTGGGACTATATGCATGTGCCACAATGCCCAACTCAACATAATTTTTTAAAATTCTTTTTAGATACATGATAGTAGAGTATATCTTGATATATATACACAGTATAACTTATTCTAATTTAGATTCTATTCTTGTGGTTGTACATGATGTGCACTCATATATTCATATACAAGTATAGGAGAGTTATGTCTGATTAATTTTGCTGTCTTTTTCTATTCCCCTCACCTCTCCCTTCCCTTCATTTCCCTTTATCTAATCCAGTGGACTTCTGTTCTTCCCCATCTTCACTCTCCCTTGTGGGTTAGCATCCATGTATCAGAGAGAATATTTGGTCTTTGTTTTTGTTTGGGAATGGCTTATTTCACTTAGCATGGTACTCTCCAGTTCCATCCATTTACTGAAAATGCCATAATTCCATTTTTCTATATGACTGAGTAATATTCAGTTGTGTATATGTACGCATTTTATTTATCCATTCATCTGCTGAAGGGCACCTAGGCTCGTTCCATAGCTTGGCTATTGTGCTTTTATAAATGTTGATGTGGCTGTATCACTGAAGTATGCTGAAGTCCTTTGGACATATGCCGAGGAGTGGGATAACTGGGTCAAATGGTGGTTCCATTCCCAGTTTTCAGAGGAATCTCCAAACTGTTTTTACAGAGTGTTTGTACCAATTTGCAGTCCCACTAGCAATGTATGAGTGAACCTTTTTCTCCAGATCCTCGTCAACATTTACTGTTAACTTGTATTTTTTTTTAATATTTATTTTATTAGTTGGACACAATATCTTTATTTATTTTTATGTGGTGCTGAGGATCGAACCCAGAGCCTGGCATGTGCTAGGCGAGCGCTCTACCGCTGAGCCACAACCCAGCCCTAACTTGTATTCTTGATAATTGCCATTCCGACTGGAGTGAGATGGAATCTCAATGATGTTTTAATTTGCATTTCTGTAATTGCTAGAGATGTTGAACATTTTTTCATATATTTCTTGACCATTTGTATTTCTTCTGTGAAGCGCTCTTTCAGTTCCTTTGCCCATTTATTGCTTGGGTTATTTGGGGTTTTTTAGTGTTAAGTTTTTTTGTATATCCTGGATATTAATGCTCTATCTGAAGTGGCAGGTGATAAAGATTTTCTTCCATTCTGTAGGCTCTCTGTTCACATTAATGATTGTTTCCTTTGCAGTAAAGAATCTTTTTAGTTTGATACCATCTCATTTATTGATTCTTGGTTTTACTTCTTTCTTGGGGAGTACCCGGTTGAACTCAGGGGCACTCAACCATGGAGCCATATCCCAGCCCTATTTTATTTAGAGACAGGGTCTCACTGAGTTGCTTAGCACCTCACTTTTGTTGAGGCTGGCTTTGAACTCTCCATCTTCCTGTTTCAGTATCTCCAGATACTGGGATTAAAGGCCTGTACCACCACAGCTTGATTTTACTTCTTGCACTTTTGGAGTCTTATTGAAGAAGTTGGTTCCTACTTTTGGGCCTACTGTTTTTTTTTTGTTTGTTTGTTTGTTTTTTTTTTTCTAGTAGGCACAGAATCTCTTTGTCTAATATCTGCATGTGTGATTCATTTTGAATTTCCAGTTTTCCTCACACCATTTGTTGAAGAGGCGATCTTTTTTCCAATGTATGTTTATGGCACCTTTGTCTAATATAGCTGTATTTATGTGGGTTGGTTGCTATGTCTTCTATTGTTTCGTTGGTCTTCATGTCGTTTTTTTGTCTACACATATTTTTAAAGTATCCATTGAAATTGTTCCATAGTGAACATGAACGGTTAAGGTATACCTTATAGAATCTTATATGCTTTGGAAAAGAGATTAAAGATATTAAAATGAAACTTAAGAATACTGGGCAAGGTGATGCACACCTGTAATCCTAGCATCTCAGGAGGCTGAGGCAGGAGGATTGCAAATTCAAAGCCAGCCTCAGCAACTTCGCGAGACCCTGTCTCAAAAAATGAAAACAGATTGGGATGTGGCTCAGTGGTTAAGTGTCCCTGGGTTCAATCCCTGGGACCAAAAAGCATAAATAAGTAAACTGTAAAATGAAACTTTGCAGTCTACTTCTTTTTTCTGTATAAAGAATATTGGGAAAAGTTTTGTCTTAGAAACTTGGAACAAAATCAATAGATTATGTCTTAAAACTCTGTAATGCCTTCTTACCTTGGACTCCACAAAGATTTTTTTCAGACAGTGTTTCCCAAACTGGACCGCCAGTCACAATCACTTTGTGGAATTTTAAAATATATGTAGACATTTGTCTTATCTTCTAGAGATTTTGGTTGATTTGATCTAGGGCTTGAAAAAAAATGGAGTATTCATGGATTTTGGCAGTGAATGTTATTTAAAAATTATAACTGCCATTCAGTCTGCGTTATAACCTTATGAAGTATATATTCATATTTACAAATGAGGCAAATTTAGATAAGTAACTTTCCCACGATCCTCCAGCTGTAAGTACTGTAGCTCGGGTTTGAAACCAGGTTTGTATGATTTCAAAGACTGCATCTTATTACCCCCGTCTCCCGCCCCCCACCCCCCCTTTTTTTTTTTTGAGTACTGGGGATTGAACTCAGGGGTGCTTTACTGCTTAGGAGCATTCCCAGCGCGCCCCCCACTCCCGTTTTTGAGTCAGGGTCTCACTTAG